AACGCTAGTTTTCAAATTTCGTATAAATTTGTAACAGTTTTTAATTGCCATGGAAGGTCAGTTTTGTAGTAGTGTTATCCTATCATTGATAGGAATGATGAAATTTTGTTCGAGGGGATGAAATAAAGGGTCGTTCAATAGTGGTCGACGTATGCGAGGTATATTCCACAATGTGATTTGTGTTTGTTTGGGTGTGTTGTAGCTTTTGGATAAAAGCAAGCACTTGTTGCCATCACAATACTGTCTCCATTCTGATTTTCGTGGGCTGGTGTTTCCTACGCCAAAGCGCAAAGAAGAGGTACACTACTGTAAAGGGAGATGATGGTGTACGTTATTCTTTCCAACACTAGCTCTGAAATTCAAGTTAGATTGATATCTGAAAAATGAGATGCCAAGTTTGGACATAATTTGTGGGGTATGGTTTAAACTTTAATTTGTGCCGTTGTTAGTGAGATTAGCACTGTGCATAACCTCTCATTCTCGAAGAGTTGAGAATGAGGTTACGTTGGTTGCTAAGCTTCAACATAGAAATCTACTCAGGCTTTTGGGATTCTGCTTGGAGGGTGAAGAAAGATACTTATCTCTGAATACATTCCCAACAAAAGCCTCGAATATTTCCTTTTTGGTTTGTTCACTACATCACACATTACTTTTCTTTCTACCTTTATTCATTTACTTCATACTTAGATCATTTATAATAAATATGGCTCATTTTAATTTTCTAACTTAAAACTCGAATGTTGATTATTAATAATTCTTGCTCTTTAGCGGTTACATGTCTCTTGAATATGCAATGTACGAAAATTTCTTTACAAAATAAGATGTATATAACTTTAGAGTCCTAGTGTTGTTGGAGATTATAAACAGTAATTAAAAAAACAACACATTTTATATGTCGTGTCTTTACAGAGACATCATTGACCCCATAAGTCAATAGTGAAGCTTTTCAATTCTTTATCTTATCAATTAAATTGAACCTAGCAAATGATGTATTACAAAACTTTTAACTCTCAAATCCTTTTTTTTTTCTTGTCAGTCATGGAGACTATGGAGGGATGAAATACCATTAGAACTATTGAACTTGAGTTTGGGAGACAACTACTTAAAAAATGAGCTGCTTAGATACGTCCATATAGCTTTACTACATTTGCAAGAGGATCCTAGTTCTAGACCTTCTCTAACATTCACCTGTTTTTATATTGAATAGTTATGCATTTCTTTTACCTTTGCCCGATGAACCAACATCCTTCATACGAAATACAGATAATAACAGTGATTAATGTTTAAATAGGTTAGTCCAATGGTCTACTAATAAAATATCTATAATTGAAATACAGATAATAACAATGATCAAATGTATAAGTAGGTCAGCCCAATGATCCATCAATAAAATATTCATAACTAAGTTGGACCCTCGTTGAAATAAGTCTGGTATTGATTTAATATAATCCTCGGTGGTAAGAATGACATTGGAAGTACTCTCAAAATTTTATTTGATTTTAATTAGTTCAAATGGTTGTGAGATGATATCATCTCATGAAATATACATTCTGTCAATTGATGCTTATCTTAATATTTTATTATTATTATTATTTTTTTTTAGAAAAGACAACACTTTATTGAGAAATAGTACAACAATTTTGAAAGGCTAAGATAGTCGGCCACTCTAGAATATCGAACTCCCAACAATTACTTTCCTCAACCTCAAGAGCCTTACGCGTGAGAGAGTGAGCATAAAAATTGCCATCTCTATCCACCTTGCTAAAACATAAAACACCACAAGAAGTCTTCAAGCCCTAGATTTTGTCAATAATCCATACAATTTTAGTGAGATCATCTTCTCCCCTTTTGCAGCAATTTCA